ATTCGAGCCAATACTAAGGGATGATTGTTTATAAATTCAATTAAATTTTAATTGGTTTTTTTTAACTATAGTTAATTTTGAAAAAATGTGGTATGACTAGTTGTTAGTGGATATATTAAAATAATATTTAAAATAAAATAATTAAAATTGATATGATGTAAAAGTAAGAGAAAAATGATTGGAAGTGATGGTTAGTTAAAATTATGTGAGTGGATGAATAAAGAATTAAAGTTGATGTGATGTATAAGAATGATTGATTAATATTATTTAATTAATATTGGGACTAGTGGAGTTGGATTAAAATAGAGTTAAATTTGAGTTTTGGTTGATAAACAACGGACACTTGAAACTGCAAAATACGCACTTTGCCGATCAATACAGGAATAATGGCGGAATTTGTTGCGTAACCCATCCCAAATACTATGGCTGCCGGTTTTCTAGTAAAATTGGCTACACACTCCTCCACCTCAGCGTGCAATGCTGTCGTGCCTGTGAACAGTGTCAACATTTCAACAATTGGCAACTCTATGCATCTTTTTCTACTAATTTTGTCATTAAATTTTATAAACAAGCACAAAAAATTTTACCTCCATCAACCCGAGTACTGCACGTGGTCGGAGAAAATTTTCCGAGGGCCTTACAAACACGGGGTGTGCAGTATTCGTCCTCTGCTGCAAATCCTAAATAATTAAATGATCCCAAATTGAGGCATTTTGTCACTCTATTCGTTCGTCTGCACAGAACACACCATTAATCAAGTGACACACTCAATCAAACTGATTTGACCTTTTTTATAAGGTGATGAAAATACTGGTTTTGATTTGTAGCGAAATGTATTTACTTACATCAGTGTTTTGTTATTGTCGTTGGAAATGCGCTCCACCACATCGACCCAAGCATTGGGAGCGCTCGATATGGGCCTGTTAAAGCAGTCCTGCAAACGATTTTCAGTTAATGAATGTTCAACGATTCACGATTCATATATCATTTTTAAATAAAATAATAATAATAATAAAATAAACTACCTGAATTCTAGTGTACAATCGACGGATGTAGAAGTCTTCAGACCCCGAGCAGATTGGCGCATAACCCTTGAGAAACATACACACACGAATGGAACAAACATTTCAATTTCAAAAACACCTCATTAAACCACAAGCAAATACAATTAATGAAAAAGTATCACGATTTTGTTAACCAACTACTACGTACTAATGAGCATTATTTTTGAAGTTAACTTAAAGGTACAATTGCATTTTTTGTCCGCTGGTTTAACGTCGTAACATTTTTAGTCTCAAAATTTCAATTTTTTGCCTTTTGATTATGTAATTTAGTATTTTTCTGCAATTTCAGTACTTTGGGACTTAAATTGCAATAAAATTTAAAATTACAGGATTTAAATTGTTACATTTTCAATTCCAAAAAACTGAAATTACATTGAATTTTAAAATCATATGACCAAATAGCAAAAATATTTAATTTTTAAGGTGAATCAAACTAAGACTAAAATTACAATTTTACTATACAAGGAACTTCAAAATGGTGCGTACACACCTGAAGAGTATCCTGGGAAGAGCACCAAATTTCAAAAATCTTGCGGGAAAAATCGCGAATCCGGCCAAAGGAGAAGAGGAGAAAATAGCTGAAGTAAGTGGTGAAGGCTGTGGTGATTCCGAAATAAATGGTGGCGGCCATTTGATCTGAGATGGCGGGGGAGAAGAGTATAGCCAAGTCATTATATAGAGCGGAAAATATTGGTCGTCAATGGATTGGAGGGGACGTCACTTGCTTTGACGCGCTCTGCTCTCTCCCATCTTTATTAACTATTATTTTCTTTCTCCAGACTTTTTGGTGTTTACTATTATACGTCAACGGAGAAATGCTTCGTTTGGACGAAGTCTTGTGTGAGAAGAGAACAAACGCAGGTGTGTTTGAACCAAGTCTTTTTTCTTATTAATCTAATTTTTGACCTGGCAATTAGATATAAATTAAATTCAGTCTGATTTTCACGGGCGGCGGCGAAGAACAAGAAGAATGATGGCCCCATAAATGCCGGTACAGGTGAGAAATTGGGGAATTTCAATTGCGATGATGATGACGTGGCTATTGGGAATTGGAAGAATTTCAACACCTCCAATAGGGATAGGGATTTCAATTTGCTCCCCCAAAATCTAGCAGAGAGGGAGTTGAGGAAAATCAGAATTTCCAATTGTCAAGTGATAGTGAGTGTGAAAAACAAGGAGAAGAAGAGGAAGAAGAAGAAGAAGTTAAATCAGAATTTCCAATCTTGCAGTGCAGCCTTTTCTAATCTTCAGTAACAGCTTTTGGAGCTTACTATGATATCATCCTTTTTTAATTTCTGGTTTAATTCGTGCACTTTCTGTCTTGCTCTGACCTTGTGGAATGAATTGAAAGCCTTCTCTGCCTTTTTTAATTTCTGGTTTATTTGATGATAGATATGATAGTAAATATAAATTTAACTAAACTTCTTATTTTGTACTTTTCGTGCTGTGTTCGGGTCACGCCATGTGTGTCGTGTCCATTGTGTCATTTATCTTAATAATTGTGTTTGTTTAGGTGCTAGAGAAGTTTGCTATAAGGTAGAATTGCGATTGTATGACAAAAAACAAGTGCTAATATCACATCAGTGCTACTATCGTGCGTCCTGGCACACCTAAGTATTTGCGATATCACATTGCAGTACGTATGGAAGTCGATGTTCCCTAATCTACCTTTTATTGATACTCAGAGTAGAGTAAGCTTTTGAAAGAGTGTTTTCATCTGATCATGGATTTGGGGGGTTTGAAAAATCTTAGTTGTCCGCATGAATCAATTATTCAATTTATTTCATATTTTGAATGTGAATCTGTGTCTAGGTGTGATGGTCTGCATGTCAGTCATTTCATTTTTTATTTTATTTTATTATTATTATTATTTTTTTTTTTTTTTTNATCCACATGCCCTAGCTGATGCTTACATCCTATGACATGTTCATTAATTTATGTAATCCTTTTCTTTGGTGCTGTCACATGTTTGGACATTGGTGAACTCTTTTAGCTCCTCTGAGTTTGTTTGGATAGTCATTTGGCAATAGACTAAATTCCCGTAATACCATTTGGAGTTCTTTTCCTGTTGTTTTACATCCTTCTTCCAAGCTCGATCAACTGCAATCTATATTCTCTGTAATGCATGTTCAAAATTTCAGACTTTGTCCAAGTAATAAGCATAACCATTTTTCCCAGACCCTGTCCCAATTTTTTATTATTTTAAGATTGGGCTTTTTATTGTGGTCAGCCAATATTTTAATTTTCATCCAGGGGCTTCTGGGACTCTGTATGTTCTAGTTCAGCTGATAATTCTTATCTCTCTCTTAAAATTTCGCATAGGATATTAAATATACAGCAGACGACTTATGGGAGGATAAATGCTCAATAAGGTTATCGAATTTAGTTCTGTAGTCAATCTCAGATACTTGAACATACAGCAAATCAGGAATTTCGTTGCTGATTATACTCGGAACTGTAGCAATTGCATAAAGAGTATAATTCTTGAGGAAACCTAGCTTTTTGGTTCAGTATGCCTCTGCGAACTAGTTCCTATTTCAAGTTGTACCAAATGCATATATCAGTGAAATTTAATTTTGGGAAAGCAAAAGAAAAAATAACAAGTCAAAGTGTTAAGATATTAGAATATTCACTTGTGGGTTGTCTTACATCGTTTATATATAGAAAATAGGCTTAATTTATAAGTTTAATGGAATACTCCTTCTACCAATTGGTTTTGGGATGGAATTACACTTGGGCTTCACCTGGGGTTTCCTGTTATGGTCCATTTTTTTATAAGTTAGGGGGGGTCATTGTCCCCCAATCTTTTTTTGTTTTATTAGTACTATGCATGTATAATAAATAATATTATATATAGGGTCAAAATCTTTTTCACCCCATTATATATCTATTCTTTCTTTTACACACCACCCGTCAAATAATTTCTTTTACACCCCAAAAGTCACGAAATGCTACGCGATATTACACTCACATGTCCAAATGAACCAGCGCATATCCAACCAGACGCATAATTTATGACTATGTGAAAACATATCGCATATTTAGGGATCGCATATCCAAATCAAACGCATAATTTACAAATATGCGAACATCTTTCGCATTTTTAAGAATCGCATATCCAAATCGAATGCAACATAATTTACGATGATTATGCGCCTTCTTTTCGCAGGGCTATATCTACCTTGCTAATTTATGAATATGCGAAATGTTTCGCATATAATTCGCATAATTTGTTGACTTCGCATTTTTTAGTATTTTTGCAATTTTGCATATCCAAGTCAATCGCATAATTTACTAATATGCGAAAAACTTTCGCATATAGCCAGTATAACGCCGGATAATTGACAATTATTCGACATTTTTTCACTCGCATATTTAAGAATCGCATAACCAAATCGAATAAAGCATAAGTTATTTGAGGATTATGCGCCATTTTTTCGCATGGCCATATCAACCTTGCAATTGTACGACTATTCGGAATTTTTTCGCGTATATGTCGCATAAGTTACACACCACATTAAATTGACTGCTTTTTCACAGGTGAGGATTTTGTCTCTGCATTTAATTATGATGCATGCAAAAAAAACACAGTGATCTCTAACAATTTAACGTCTGCACTCTACACCATTCATCTACTGCATTTTTCTGTTTCTTTCATTTTAATTGTTTTTGTTGCTCACTTATTTGAATGGCTAGCAACCGTGTTAAAGTATTCTTGCACTATGGTGGTTCGTTTTTCGGGGGTTCATATCTTGGTGGAGTGGCAGAGCTGATGAGAATAAATTACGGCCGACAAATGTATTCTGAAGTAGTTTCTCGTGCTCAAGCATTATTAAAGGCCAATCCTTGTAATTTTGAGTACATATTATGGGCAGTATTTGATGGAAGGGAACAAGCTGTGAAGATGAAAATCGAATCCATTGACGATATCTTAGAGCAAGGAAATCCCAACATTTACCTGGAGTTGGAGAAGCGAGTAGATGTAGGGATTCCGGGGACGGCGCAACAAAGCTTCACGCAAATGATGGCGTCCCAAGGTGTGTTTCCTAGTTCTTTTGGTGTTGGTAGTTCTGCATTTTCCCACGAGGCCCCATATTCAAGCAGGCCCTAGTTCATTTACACATACTGGATATCCTCGGGGCGCTCATGAAGGATCATCATGATCACGTCGAGTACGGCGTCAGTAGATGTGCTCTCGGTGCGGGGTCACCGGGCATAACAGAGCAAGAACAACATCGAGACGCCCGAGGAGATGTCGTACTTGTAAAGAAACAGGTTACAATTCGTCATCTTGTCCACACGTCCATTCCATGACAATTTAGATGAAGATGGAGACGTTATGTAATGTTATGTACCTCATTGGAGTTTTTAATTGGTAAAGCAATTTAATGGAAAAAATACTTTTAATGGGAAAAATACTGTGTTGGTACTTGGTACCCTAAGTTGTGACCTGCACACACACGATTGACTATCAAAAAATAGTGAAACTGGGTTGATTGCGCGATCCGCATAACATGTCCCATAATAATCGCACAATTGGGTTGATTGTGCGATTCCCATATCATATCCCATATAATCGCACAACTGGGTTGATTCGCAGGTTCATTCGCCTAGTCTTCATTGATTGATTGTCTACACCGCATATCCAAATCAAAAGTTCTTCGCATATTATTCGCATAAGTTACGCACCACATTGATTGATTGTCTGCTCTTACACGTAAAAAATTGTGACGATTTGCATGCTTCCTCATTTAGTTGTCGAGTTGATGTATATCTACCTAGCTTTAAATGCTATCTCTAAATATTAACATTTCATTCTCTTTGTTGAATAATTAACCTTTCACTTCTCAAAACCCTAGCTTTCGATCGCAGCAAAAAAAAAAAAAAAAAAAAAAAAACCAAGGAGGCGCACGTTTGTGAAAAAAAAAATGGAAACGATTTCACTCTATGAAAAGATCTCGATCAGCTTCCGTGGCCTGGACCGGACAGAGGAAGAGAAGATATTTGCTACCGATTGTTTTTCAAAAAGCGCCGTGAGAAGGCAGACATACACCAAGGCCCTATGTTCAATTCCTTGTGGGCAGAAATTTCAAAATTAATGAACCAAGTGTTGAGTAATGCATTGAAGAGGGACTATACTATTGCCCAAGTCCGGCAAAAGATTCAGCGCCTCAAAAATTATTTCGATGAATTTCGGCTTTCCTGAGGATTCCAGGCGTCCTCTTGCGTCCTGGTTCAGACTTTGTAGAGGTTAACCACATGTACTGGGTGCATGTGCGGTGATGACAGATCCATCAGCCACCACCAAAGGTGGAAGTTATCGATCTCGACCATTAGAATCCACTGGACATGTAATCAAAAGTTGTTTGGCTTATTTTGTTGGACTGACTGCATCAATAATAAATATTTTTTTCTTCTATCAAGTATATGTGTTTAATCATGATTCATATGTCAAAACGAAACAAAGTGCGATAAATCGCATTGTGTTCCTAGCAAAATCAGCAAGAATATTCGAAGGGAAATTATTATTGAAAGAAATTTCGCAGAACTGTGAACAAAGTGCGATAAATCGCATTGTGTTCGCATAACGTAATGAAAAAAATAAGTAAAAGTAATTTATATTATAATTTGTAATCGCATATCCAGGCCAGATCAACCGCATCATTTAGGATATGTGAAAAACTGTCGCGTAATTAGATTATCACATATCCAAATCGAACGCTGCATTATTTATGAGTAGCGAAAATAATTTACGATTTGCATATCCAAATCTATAAGGCTAGATAACTATCGATTATGCATATTGTTTTCGCATATTTACGAATAGCATATCCATATAAACCTCGCAGAATGTATCAATATGCGAACACATTTCGAATAGTGTTACGCACCGCATTGGTTGACTGTTTTTTTTTCACCTAATAGTTATTTACGATTCAGTCAAAGAACAAGAATTTTCCAAAAATTACTATTTACCAACTCTATGAATAATATGCGACGTTTGTATATCGTAATTTTGTACGTCGCAGAATAGAAAATTTACGAAAACAAGCTTATAAAAAATATATATGTTATTCGTTATAGTACGAGCGTTGTGCGCAGTTTTTATGCGGAATTGTTTCGAGTAATAATCGCATGTTCATTCGCCTATTAGTAATTTAGTCACAGACCAAAACCTTTTCAAAAATTAAATTTTATAAAATTAATTATTTACTAACTGGGGGACTAATATGCGACGTTTGTATGTCGCAATT